TGTGAGAGAGAGAGAGAATTCTGAGTTGATGATTTCTTTTAACGCCCCCCAATTTCATTTTAAGTCTGGAAGGACTTGTAAAGAACCTTATTTTACATTGCTACAGGAAAGAAAGTGTGCAACGATGCACATGTGTGTGTATGTGCATGTATGTGTGTGAGAGAGAATTTTGAGTTGATGATTTCTTTTACCACTCCAAATTTCATTTCAAGTCTGTGAGAACTTGTAAAGACCCTTTTTTTACATTGCTACAGGAGAGAATGTGTGCAGTGATGTACGTGTGTGTATGTGTGTGTAAGAAAAAGAGAGAGAGAGAGAGAGGTGCCTGTAGGAATTGCACTAGCCAGGGGCACGGAGGCTGAATGGCATCATTTAGGCACTGACTGTGACATTGTATTAACCTTTTTTAATGGATGTATGTAATAAAATGACATGTAAATGGAGCACAAGGGGAGATATGACACTATATCTGGAAAGGGATAAAACAGCCAGTTGAATACTGGGCTATTATAGCAGTTTGCAAACCTTGGATAAACTCAGTCAGCGGTTGTATAATTGGTTATTCAATCCCGACCCTTGTTCACAGCTCAAAGCCAGGAACACTGAGACCTGTTGCCAATTTGAGTGAATGCGGTGACTGTGCTCGGCCGGGGCCTAACACTGGAGCCAGGCCTTTTCCTGTGGGCTGCTTTCCACCATGTCTGGGACTGGCGGAGTGACAGTAGCTCTTTTGTTGTGAAAGCCTGGCTAGTGCTCCCCTCCTTTGCAAAATGTCTAACAGCTACACAAATATAAGAAAATAGGAGAGGAGGGGGAGGACAGGGGGAAAATAGAGTCTTAGTGTAGCTCTTTCTCTGACACTGTGGAGGTATTGAGAAGGAGGAGGTGGTGGTGGTCCAGAGAGAAAGAGGGATCTGGGTGTGATATGAAAAGTTACAGCTAACGATAAGGGAGAGCGCCATGATGTCCAAGTGTAGGGTTGAAGCAGCGAGGGAGCGATGGAGAGCTCTCTTGAAAACATGAATTGTTCTCCCCGACTAAAGCCATTGTTTTAATGCTTCCTCTTTCCTCAGACCTCAGCAGCGTGAATGGATTCTATCTAAGCTAGCAATGAATGGCTTCTAATTTATGCTTTTGGCGAAGGTTGTCTCTCAGGGTCCAACCAAAAAAGTTACGGGGTGATTTTTTTTTCCAGATGTACAAACTAGGGATGTGTGAAATTTCCCTTTCCCCCTTTTGGGAAATTGTGAATCTCTTTTCAAACTCTTTAGGTTTCCACACAGTGACTAGGAGGTTGGACTTTAATAGAAAGAATCATTTTAACAAATTGTTTTAGTTAAGGAATGGCATTATTTTTAATGGTATACAAAACTCTCTCTTGGGTGCATTTGAGTTGACAGTAAATAAATATTTTGTCCTCCAGGATTCTCCATTTTGAACTCAATTTGGCATTAGTTGACAAGTCCAGAAAACACTCTGGGGTATTTCTGGAATTTGTATCAACTTTTCCTTTTAATTACCCCCAAATTCCTACATGTGATTAACTTTAGCAAGACCTCACAAATTCAACTCAGTCATTGATTTATGAAAGGGACTCTTTCCAGCATCTTCTCCATATACCCAGGCTACAAAACATTTGCACACAAACTTGAAAGCCAATCCTCAAGATTGGTTCGGAAGACAAGGAGCTGTGTTTTTAGATAAATGCTTAGGATTTTTCAATGCGCTCTGCAAAGTGTGAGTATAAAAAACAGATATCTGGAAACATGCAGTCCATGAGTATGCTTTTCAGAGTAGGAATCAGTCAAGGTACCTTGCTGAGCAAATACATCTTAACATCCTAAAAATGTTTTAAAACGCCATTAAAAATACAAATTCATTTATATTTTTTGTTTTTTTAATTGTAGATACTTAAATGGGAAGCCAAAGAGAAAAGGGAATGGGAAGTTTTGATCGAAAATAATATAGGCTGAGTATCCCTTACCTGGAATTCCAAAATCCAAAATACTCCAAAAAAACCCAAAACATTTTTCCATGTAAGAGATAGTGATACCTTTGTTTTCTGAAGGTTCAGTGTACACAAACTTTCTTTAATACACAAAATTATTTAAAAAATGATTAGCATTAACTTCAGGTTACATATATAATATGTATATGAAACATAAATGATTTTTGTGTTTAGATTTGGGTCCCTTCTCCAAGATAACTCATATACATATATGCAAATACAGGCATTCCAAAATTTAAAACAAAAACAAAAACACTTCTGGTTCCAGGCATTTTGGATAAGGGATACTCAACCTGTAGCATGAAACTTAGTATATGTTGATATGATTATTTGATTGTCAGGTCTCAGTTATGCTTATCTGGAATCCATAAATTGTGATGGCTTTTTTTCTGAATGTGCTAGCACTCATGTGTTTGATGATGTATTTATCATCATGTTTGATGATGTATTTATACAGCCACAGCACTCGGAGTTATGCATTTGCAAATCTGGGAAAATGCTTCAGAAACAAATTGAAATGAAATTATCCCTCAATTCCAAGGCACTCTGCTATTCCCAGAATGCTGTGCTACATGGTCCATGCAAGATAGTCTGAACCCAAGATATATAGGACTATAAAGGTCATAACCAACATTTTGAATTCTGTCCTGAAATGGAACAGTAGCCAGCAGTTTCAACAAGGGAGTTATATCTTCCCT